ATAATCAATTTACTGAAGCTCTGCCCGGAGGATAACCGATAATAAAAAACCGAAGCCTCATAAATCAAGCCGTCGGTAACAAAGCAATCTGAAATAGTTTCGAAACATTTTTTTTTGAAACTCTGAAACTGGCGAAACAGCTGAAATAGTGTAGAGGCTGTCACATCAGGTTCTGAAACAGTTTCGAAACTGTCATACTTTGCTTCGTATTTCTGACGCGGAACATGGAATAAGTTCGAAGACATCATGTAATTGTCGTCATGCCTTGATACATGTAGGATTATGTTAATTAGTTTCCAAACTTTCTGAGTCCTCAGTGGTGAAACATGGCTCACGAACCAATCCCTTACCCGGAGTCGAAGCTTCGAAGTCCAGAAGTCTCGGGCAGAGTTTGAACTATGTGCGGTATTTCTTCAGCAACGAGAGATATATTATTGGTAGAAATTCTTGATGCGTGAAGGAATTTATTGCCATGATTATTAATTTGTTTATTCGTCTGTAAAGGTATTTGACTTTTATACATCTGCCTGATTGTCTGTCTTTCTTTGTGTGGATATGACTCTCTCTCTGACACACACACACACACACAAACACACACACACCACTACCATTGAAATAGAGAAAAAATATCTACCAGGACATTTACCCTCACTAATAACGATAATTACTGGGAAAGAAATTGGATAAATACGAGGCATCAAGGTGTCCATTACCACTATTTAACACGTCCTAGAAGGTGAAGTGCAGGTGTGGCCAAACCCAATTACAAACTCCGGCATTCTCTTAATCCAATTATATCCTATTAAAAAATACTTCCTTCTTGCAGTATCCCATTAATGTTTCCCATTTTCCTTCTACGCGTCCGTTTTCGTTTATTTTGTATGTCTCGTTTTATTATCGTGTGTTCTTTTATTTTTTGTTCTTTATTTACCTCTCTGTTTTCTGTTTTAATTTGTTTTTATTTGTGTTTTATTCTTAATGGACGTTTAGTTTAATATTTTACTTTGCTTAGTTGTTTTATTATACAGGGCGGTCCAAAAATACCCTACCTATTTTATAGAAATAACCGTATTAAATACAGTACTACTATATATTTCCATAAAATAGAGAGGGGCTTTTTGGACCACTCTGTACAGTATAAAAGTTATTTAAACCCTACGGATACAGCGTAATGGGTGTGTGAAATATTCCAATTGTATTTAGTTTTTATAAAGCTCGTTATTTAACACAAATTACTCGAAATGTAAGATTTTAAGGAGGGAGGGAGAGAAGGGAAGGAGGGAGGGAAGGGTTGAAGAGGAAAAGAAGAGAGAAGAAGGGAATAGAGGGAAAATGGATTGAAGAAAAGAGAGAAAGAGGGATATAGATTGAAAGAAGGAGAATGCAGGGGGAGGATTGGGGGGAAGAATGAAAAAGGATAAGAGGAGATGGTGGAAGGAGGACAAAAGAAAGGCAGAAGAAGAGAGAGACTGATAAAGGGAATGAAGAAAGAATTAAGAGGACATATATATAAGTAGAGAAGGAAGCGAACGAAAAGGGAACAAGGAAATAAAGATAAAGGAAACGAAGACATTTGTCACCTGCCAATAGAAGAAATATATTGTTCAGAAAAAAAAACTGACAAATTTTGCTCGAGAGACAGAGTAAAATATAGAGATAGAGAGAAGTAGAGAATGAAACAGAAAGATACAGAGAAACACAGAGGCATAGAGTGAAGAAAGATAGAGATATAAACACCGTAATTACCAATTTCCTAACCTGTAATAAGACGCTAACGATGACATACAGAAATTACGACAGCTTGGAGGTAGAACTTTTCTCATTGGGTCATTAGGTACTGTCTTAATTACGCACCTTAAAGACAACCTCCAGCTGTAGGTATTTCACTTAAATTAGCTTGAATAATTAAATAAAGGATCGTATAATCGTAGTGAGAGAGAGAGAGAGAGAGAGAGAGAGAGACACATGTAAAAATGAATAAGTTCAAGGATGGTTACAACAACAGACAAAACCTTCCAATGAAAAATTATGAAAAAAAAAATATATGAAGCTAAGTAAGATGAGCCTTGAATTTTCCCCCAAAAGTTCCCACGGTATTTTTTTTTCCCTCTCGTAACGGCTGGTAGAGAAATGCTTTTAACTAACTCAATAAAGCTACGGCATGAGGGATGCTTCTAACGTACTGACGGCGGAAGATAACAAGGCATTAAAACTGTAGCCGAGAGACTATCTTAAGCTATGATATAGATAATATTAATCTACATCTATCTATCTATGATCTTGGACGAATTATGAACACACACACACATAATAATAATAATAATACAGTAATATAGATATAAAAGAAATGAGAATATTATCGAAAAGTAATTAACCACCAGAAAAAAGTAAAATATATGAACAAAATATAGAACTAAAATACAAATTCAGAGGAAAATGTTTACAGTGAAACCTCTATTTAACGGACTATATGGAGAGGAAATTCTGTTATATCGAGGGTCTGTTAGATGTGAAACCCTCATATAACGACCTATATAGAGTTGAAAGGCCGTTTTATATTTAGGGTTTGTTATAAAAAAACACATCTAACGGATTATGTGGAGAAGAAATTCCGCTATATCGAGGGTCCGTTAAAATAATCTAACGGCTTAAATGAGGAGAGAAGTCCGTTATATCTTTTACACCTAGGGTCCGTTATAAAAAAAACCATCTAACGGATTATATGGAGAAAGATGTCCGTTGTATAGAGGTTTCACTAACAAAAATATACGGTATGCAAAAACAGAAAATGACTGAGAAAAGAATAGAGAATTGAACATCCGCTGAAGCACCAATTACACAAATTTGCTTTTCGAATTCCCGGGAGCTTCTTTTTTTCCTCCTGTTCACCGGGTACAAGAATTTCCTTGACATTTTTTTTTAATCGCCTGACGAATAATCACCCCAGCTTATTTTTCTTTAGGATTAATCACCCCAGCTTATTTTTCTATGATTAATCACCCCAGCTTATTTAACTAAGATTAATCTCCCCAGCTTATTTTACCTTAAAATTACCACAAGCTTTTTACACCTTAAGAGGCGGGGAAAGAGAGATAGTAGCAGGGGAACAGAGAGGAGGAAATGGGTGGGTGGAAGAGGTAGTGAAAAAAGATAGGAGTGGGGAGGTGGGGAAGGGGAAGGAGCAAAGATAGGGGGAGAGAATGGTGGGGGAATGGAGAGGGAGGAGTGAGAGGGAGATTGGTATAGAAATGAAGTGGGAAGAGGACAGGGGGAAGAGAGAGGGGGGGGGGTGGAGTGAAGAGGAAGAGAGAGAGGGGGTGGGTCGGGAAGAGGGAAGAAAGGGATTAAAAGAAAAGAAGACAAGACACGTAGAGAGAGAAAAGGGGGAGTGGAGCTAAGAGAAGAGAAACACGAGTGAAGAAGAGAAACAAACGAAAGAGTGATGTGATAGGGGTACGAGAAGAAGAGGAGAGAAAAACACAGGATGGAGAGGAGGAGGAGGAATGAAGAGAAAGGTGTCGAGAATATAAAAAAAAATACCCAAAAGCCTTCCACACCATAGTAAAACAAGATTGAATAACTTAAATGACATTAAATGCAGAAGCTGTCGATGATTTTTTTTATTTTAGAACCTTGATCAACCAAACGAAAAAGGAAAGTAAGCTTAATATAATGACTCGCAGTTATTAACGAGCTCAGAGTAATTATAAATACCGGTATTGATTACTTAATTATTGGCTCTGAGTAAAAAATATCTGTCTTAAGAAACCATTATAGGATTACAGGGAAAACATTATACATACCTGTAAAGGGAAAGTGAGCTCGTATCCTCCACATTATGACAGAGTGTTTGTTTATCCACCTGCGGCTCAGGACCACAGTACAGTCGTCCGTCGGTCAGTGGTGGGACACGAATAATATTTTTACAAGTGACACTCGATTAACAGAAGACGACACTCATCTAACAGAAGACGTCACTCATCTAACAGAAGACGTCACTCAGTTAACAGAGGACACTCGCTAAACAGAAGACTGGCAGGGGTGGCGTAAAGGTTTTCACGTGTAGTACTGGGGGGAGTCTCTCTTGGAGTGGGTCCCATTGTAACGTTGTCTCTTCACTAATACTGGAAATAAATGGTGAGTGGCTTTATGTCATTGAAATAAACGAAGTGAATATTTTGCAGCGACCAGGTAAGTTTCTACTCATGCTATTTTACCGTGAGTGCTCTCTGATTGGCTAATTATCCATTACTGGCAAACAAAACAGCAAAATATCCACTGTGTTAATTTTTTCTTGAGATGTTTGTATGATAGTAGGAAAAAAACGATATTGCACAGGATAGGAAGTTAGGTGAGGTTAGGTAGATGAGGTGAGGTTTTAATAGGTTCTGTATAATGTCGTTTTGATTTGATTAGCTAATCAGAGCACACTCACGGTAAAATAGCTTTAGTAGGAACTTAACTAGTCAGGGCAAAATATCCACTGCCCTTTAAGAGACAATAGATTAATTAATTTGGTAATAGTGAAGCAGACGGCTAACACCAGGAATTGTTCGAGTACGTTCATTTATTCCACAGATGTTCTTTGGGTGATGGTAAGTAATAAGGTAATGATTTGTTTTAGTTATACCACGGAAACCACTTTACAAAACTAGGGTTTCCTGGTGTATTTTGTGTTGTTTCAAAGGTACAGTATCTGGCCTCCATTTATGTCGCAAATGAACCGTTATGGAGAAATGACCCCCACTTCCAATTACTAACAGTCATGGTTGTTTTAAATGGGTAAGGCTTTGAAGTAGTAAAGGGAAATTGTGGGGGTAAAATATTAAAAAGAACACCAGACAAACCTTAGAAAACCTTACCTAACCTAACCTAACCTAACCTAACCTTACCTAACCTAACCTAACCTAACCTAACCTAACCTAACCTAACCTAACCTAACCTTATTCGTGTTTTGGGTGTTTCGTGTCTGGTGGTGGTTTTGTTTTCGGTTTTCAGATGAGGGGGGGGGGACCCATAAACTCGAAAGCAATTCTTAACTATTTTACAAGTTAGAAAAAAGGTTTGTTTGGTGTTCTTTTTAGTAAAAATCAACCTAAATTAAATTAGTATTACCCCAGAAATTGATGGTAAAGGTGGACCAGACAGCTATGACCAGAATGACTTGTTTTATTTTGTTAATTTTTTCCACAGATGCTCTTTGGATGACAAAAAATAATAAACATGATACGGCATGCACATAACCAGTCTGGTCAACCATTGAACTAGACAGTGTAAGCTATTATTGTGTTCTCTGGAATATACATCATCGTTGTTTGCTCATTTCTCGTTATTTTTTACAGCCAACCCCAACGATGACGAGTCCAAATAAAACGGATAGCCCTACAAGCAGTGCCACTCCATGCATGAAGAAGGTAATGTTGTTAGAGTATATTTTTGGTTTGGGATTGATAATTTTGGGCTGGATCTCACCTTGACTTTTAACGTGGAATTCGGCAGGAAATTGGATCCACTTCTCTGGAATATGCATCATCGTTGTTTGCTCATTTCTCGTTATTTTTTACAGCCAACCCCAACGATGACGAATCCAAATAAAACGGCTAGCCCTACAAGCAGTGCCACTCCATGCATGAAGAAGGTAATCTTGTTAGAGTACATTTTAGGTTTGGGATTGATAATTTTGGGCTGGATCTCACCTTGACTTTTAACGCAGAATTCTGCAGGAAATTGGGTCCACTTCTCTGGAATATACATCATCGTTGTTTGCTCATTTCTCGTTATTTTTTACAGCCAACCCCAACGATGACGAGTCCAAATAAAACGGATAGCCCTACAAGCAGTGCCACTCCATGCATGAAGAAGGTAATGTTGTTAGAGTATATTTTTGGTTTGGGATTGATAATTTTGGGCTGGATCTCACCTTGACTTTTAATGCGGAATTCTGCAGGAAACTGGGTCCAGTTGAGCGGGAAGTCAATTAATGAACACTTTATCAGAAATGGGTATTGCTCTTCAAGCTGGACTTTACTGTGTTTTAACTCAAATACTTTACTTTGATATACTGCTACTGTCACACCATGGCCACCACTGTCATTACTAAGCCAGACCTTGTTTAGACCTGATCATAATCTTAATAATTTTCATTAGTATCCTTGATTGGGTTGAGAAAAGAGTAATATACTGGTAATAATTTTTTTTGTACATTTTACAATGTTGTACAGTACTGATATTCATAAATTTCAATCAAATCACAGAAGAAGTCTGACCGTCTGTTAAGTGTCCTTGGTCTACCAGCTACAATCATCTTCAAGTTACTTGATGCAGACTTTGTGCATGATGAAGATGTTCAAGGCCTGACACCCATGGAACTTAGTTCAGGTATATATACTCTACCTTTCTGTATTTGTGAATGCAATTCTACTGTACAATACTCACTTGTAGATTAAAACAGAAAAATAGTTCTGTTTTAATGAGGGGATCCACCTTTAGGGGCAGGTGGCCAACCACTGGGGCCATCCCCCAAATTCCACTTTTGTGCATATTCATCTGCATGTTGAATTTCATTCAACTATTGGTTTCTGATGTGTGATTTAGGTTTTTGTGTTATTCTGGAAGTACTGTACTTAATTAGTTGAACCCTGTGTGACCACTGCCCGTGATCCCACTTGGACTTACCCAACCTTTGTTAATTCCCAAGTGACCCACTGCCATATAGCAGCTAATCTATCAAACAGACTGCGCTGAACTTGGCCCGTAAACTCACGCAAGTTAAAATGTCTATATTGTTGACTATATACTGTGTACTTATTTCACTTTTACATTTTCGTAGTTACTTACTCTTAGGTGATGTAACAGTAACGAATTGTGTGTGAAGATTATTTTTTAAATAAATATTGCTTTACTCACCACAAACTGGCTGCATCTACTTGAACTGCGGGCCACATCAAATAGAATTTCTCAATCACTTGACGGGCCGCACTAACACTTGGTCCAGGCTGCGTGTGGCCCACAGGTCGCGGGTTGCCCATGAATGATGTGTACCTACAGTATAGATTTCATGTTTCTGTGTGACAGTGAGTGTTAGCATCATTATTTTGATTTTGCATGGGAAATGACTGTACTCACTTTATTTGCTTGAGTTTTTGAAGAAACTTTAATTTTAGCTACCAATGCATTTTTTAAATTGCTTCCCCTGTAAAAACTTGAAGAGTTAAATGATTGAACATTTTGAAATGATGGGAGAACATTGAATTGATAAGTAAATTCAAGGGATATCTCAACTTGATTAACAACTTCTTTGAAGAATTTTGGTGTTTGAGAAACCTATGAATCCTGAAGTCACATAAATGATAAGAGAGTCACATAAATGATAAATATCTTCACTATGACGATAGTAAATTGTTGTAGGCGTTTTAACTTGATCAGGTAAGGCTAAAGAATTTTGGTGTTTAACCTTTATTAAAAGACCATTGTTGCTAAAATTAGTTACTGTTCTTCTGGTAATTTAATTATAAATTTGTTCTGTGTGTTTATTTATATTTTTATTTGTTTATGAAAGTTGTTTCCACACAAATTTGGGATTGATTGATTATGCAGTACCAAAGTTGTCCTTGTCAAAGTTTGAAGAGTGTACTGTTTTTTTGTTTTGTTTTTCTGTAGGGATGTAATGCATTTTCATGGAGTAATTTTTAAAGCTTTATTCTTTCAGCCACAGGACTGACTTTGAAGGAGAGTGCTGAGGTAGTGAGGTTATCCGCAGCTTCCAGTATAGAACAGCCTGTAACCATACTCCAAATGCTTAAAGTAAAGTTAATGGGGATTTTTGTGAAGCATTTCTTTGTCTTATACTGTATCTCAAACTTTCTGTTCTTATAATGCCCTATGAACCCTGAGGTTACTCAGTTTTGTTGCCAGCACTTTAGAGCATTGCTTCATTCCATGCTCATGTGTCAAAGTAGGATGACACTTCCCAGCTCACCAATTGCTCTCCTCCCATGTATTTATTGTTCCTCCCTAATCACTGTTTCCACTACTTTGCCAGTTAAGAAGACACTCTGTAAATGTGGGCAGGTGATAGGAAGAGCATTCAGCTGTAAATCATGTTTCAGATTCCCCTCTTAGCTGGAAAGGCAGTGTTGCAAACCCTAGTGGTAAATGAAGACTAGCTGCCTTCCTCAAGCATGTAGATTTTGGATTAAATACACAATACATACAGGTAGCTGCAAAGTGTGCAAAATCTCCTCTTGTTGGTAACACTCAGTACTTATCATGTAGGAGACACAAGATTGATGCTACAGTCTGACTGTTCAAAATCATACAATATACTTTTCAGGAACAGTGTGAGGTGCCATATATTGCAACCTTCTGTGAGGCTCTGGACAGTCTACTGGGTGGTGGTATTCCATTGCGTGCTATTACTGAAATATATGGCACTCCAGGCATTGGAAAAACTCAAATGTGGTATGTTCTCTAATTTTATCGTGATATAAGGAAATCCTGCGCTGCATGTGAATAATAAAATGTTTAACATAAAAGATACAGACATAAAGAAGTCTAGAAAATTTTGCCAAGTTTATATTTCCCTCTCAAGGGGAAGAAGAGCAGGTATAGTTTACTTCCTCTTCTTTTTTCTTCCTCTTTCTCAGCAACACCAAATTGTCGTACATTCATGACATACTTGTTACTTTACTGTCATAAATGTTGCAAAATGGCTGCAGATAGAGGTGGCACAGGTAATCAGCTGATGAACGGCTGTGGGAGGGAGAACTTACAATTTTTCTTAGTTATATTTTGTAGTGTATGTCAAATGTACTGTTCTGTATTTGTATGCAATTCGTGTTTTTTATATGTATGAAAAATCAGTCCAAATACCCCTAAAAAGTCCTGGCCTAAATGCTGTTCCGTACATTGTTTCTTAAGGTAAAATAGTTTGGCATGTTGAAATTTTACACATTGCAATGGTTTTCAGGAACAGAACCCTTGCCATAAACAATGATTATTTGTAAATTCAATATTATTTCTGCAAATTATCTTTGTTTTATTGGATAGTAATACAGTACTGTGTTTTTTGTTTTGTTTTTTTAATAAGACAAAACAACTTTCTTTATTCTGGGCAGTTTACAAGCTTGTGTGTCGGTGCAGCTTCCCAGCAGTGTTGGTGGAGTTGGGGGAGAGGCCTTGTTTATAGACACTGAAGGCAGTTTCACCGCTGGCAGGTTGAAAGGTGTGGCTTTCAAATTATATGTTAACCATAATAATTACCATTTCAGTATACAGATGGTTAATAATATCATTGGTAACAACATTTTTGGTTAACATCCTCTACCAAGTGGCTCTCTTAATGGCCGTAACCAGTGTTGTGGGCTCAGAGATTATGCCATGTCTATGTTTAACAGCTGTGGGTTGAACTTATGAACACCCATCCCTTCTAATGCCTGTAAATCTGTAAGTTGTATGCTAAACTAGTAAGCTAAAAATGTCCTTCTCTTTCAGATATGGCTACCGATGCAATTCAACATGCACAAACCATAGGTGGTAAAAATGTTGACACATCAGATTTTACCGACATCTCTATACTGAAGGGAATACATTATTTCAGGTAAATTATCAACAAGTTTATTATTTATGCCAAGATATATTTCATAAAGCAACTTGTGTAATGTGCAACTGTTGCAAGCATTACATTAATTAGGATATGTTTAAATTTTCATTCAACTGGCGAGTCAGTTGTTGGAACCGACATCACCTCATTTTGTTTCAAGATATCATCCAGTTTCACAGTGAGTAATGTAGTCTATCTTTTGACATTTTTAATGTCATGGCCAACAAGGAGTCAGGCTTGAATTAGAAGGAAATTCTCTGTTGTGAAGTGAGATATATACTGTAATATAGGATTAATGATTTTTGGAGATGCACTGAAATTTTTGTTCTGAAAGTTAACATACCTACTCTTAATATTGTATGTGAAAGTATGTATAGTACTTTTTTTTCTGTTTAAAAAAATTGAGAAATTATTCAGGGATTATGTTAGCCACTTGTTATCGGGTTGGATCATTCAGTGTAAACATTTAGGTCATTAGGCCTCTTCCATAATGGATCATGACCCTCTATTGAAGTGCTCCCGCTTGAGTGGGATCCCCACATCCATTACCATGATCCCACATGCCTGAACCTCCTCGACCTACCTTTAAGTAAAACCTCACAATGCTCTCAGTACCCTCGTTTAGCAATCATTTCACTTAACGATGGGTTTTAGGGGAAAGTAACCCCATCGTTAAACGAGACCTGTTTAAGATTCAGTGTGCATGTAACTAATTAAAAAAAAACTAAGAAAATTATATATATATATATATATATATATATATATATATATATATATATATATATATATATATATATATATATATATATATATATATATATATATATATATATATATATATATATATATATATGCATATATCAGCATATATATACATATATATACTCAAAATTATGTGTTAAAAAGTAACTATAACTTAACATAGAGCTCACAGGTGGGGCATGGCCCGAGAATTACTTGGCAATCATTTTAAATGGGACTTTTGAGAGAGTATCCATGAAGTCAGAATTTCATAACCCAGGACTGTCTGCGTAGAGTGCTAAGTTAAAATTTTACTAACCATTCACTCTCATACCATAAAACTAGCATTTCTGTTAACTTGTACACTGTACTACGTAAATCCAGGATTTTACAGCAATTATCATGACCCATAGGTTATCTAATACACCTTACAACTACTTGATCATGATATACCTGTGCAGTAGATAGATAACTTATGTCAGCTATTCAAACATGTTTTGGTAATGATAATCAAAATAGATAATTTTATTTTTTCAGGTGTCTCAATTACATTGAGATTGTAGCTGTAATAAAGCACTTGCCATCTCTTCTCAAGTCCAACCCCAAAATGCACCTTATTGTTATTGATTCTATTGCCTTCCATTTTCGTCATGATTTTCCTAACGTGAAGGCTCGGGCAGGATTGTTGTGCCACATGACTCAAGAACTCATCCAGCTGGCCACAAAATTTAACTTGGCAGTAAGTTAAGATTTATTTTCATTCACTTCAGTAGCATACTTTCCTCTTTGATACTGACATTGATTCTTCTTTGAAGTGATTAGTATATTATTCCAAATCTTGCCTGTAATGGCAGATATCTCCCATTGGGTGACAAAAAGTGAGATGTACAACAACAAAATTTATTCTTGCAATAATGGCATATTCACCTGCGACAAGTACACTGAAAACACAGTCCCCAAACATGTCCACACTATTTATTATGTATAGGAGAATAGTAAGCATGGGCTAGCAGAGATAGAATTAATCATAGATATAATTCATGAAGAAGGAACATGCGGTTAACAAGATGATGACTTAACAACAATAGTAAAGTGGGCATTGAGAAAACTAGGGGTTGAGAAGTGCCTTGTTCAATTGGTTGACATTATATGAAGACTCAGAATCATCCAAGGGTAAATGGTGAAGAAAGTATGGAATGTGAGGTGAAAGTAGGGGTCCATCAGGGATCTGTCTTGAGCCTCCTGTTTATCATGGTGCTGGAGGCAATATTTACCTTATTTACCCAATGGCTATCCATACTAAAGGTAACTATGCTGAGGGAAGAAGGCCAGTGACCTGTGTTGGATCCTCTCTTTGTTCTTGATATTCTTGTCAAGGGCTATTTTGAAGCCCAGGTTTACCACGCTCTGTGTGAAGAATTATTTCCTTATTGGGACTGTAAAATTGGTTTGCCAAGGGGAGATTTGTATTTTACTGATTTCATAATTTTATTTATTCATAGGTGATAGTTACCAACCAGATGACTACCAAAATAGAGTGTGAAGGGTCTTCAGAACTGGTGGCAGCATTAGGAGAAACGTGGGGTCATTGCCCAACACTGAGACTTGCTCTTCACTGGTCTGGAGAGACAAGAGTCGCTACACTTACTAAGGCACCACATCGAAGAAATTCTTCTGTAAACTATCAGGTACAGTGATCCCTCGGTTAACGAGCACCTCAGTTAACGAATTACCTTCCATAAGATTATTAACTTTGGTTAACGAGCGTTCCCTCTATTAATGAATTCCTTATGAATTTTTCCCAACATGTTTTTGCCTGCATTTGGCTGCCCACCAGCTGTAATATTAATCCGCCAATACAGTAATCGGTTCTAGGGCTTAAATTCCTTACAATTTTAGTAAATATCAAGAAGTTTGTACTATTCAATAATTTTAAAAGATATTAAAATTTTTAGTCATTTTAACATTTATTTAACATAATTTAAATACAGGGAAACTAGTTTTTAGCACGCCAAACAGCCACTTGACTCACCCAAAATGGCGTCAGTGTGTGTCCTTGCTCAGTGGCGGAAGCTTCTTGCTTGAGACTCTCTTGAACATAAACTATTTTTACATTTTTGCAGTACAATTATTGGTCATTCTGAAGTTTATTTTACATATTGACAATATATAATGCAGTGCAGTGTTGATTTAAAGAAAATAATCTTTAATTACACCAAGTGAACTAAAATTTCATGGGTGAAATGGCACCATGGGGTGACTTCTCTTCCACCCCAATGCCTTCTCTTCTCCCTTCTCCTCCACCCCCATTCTAATTCCCATCATCATCATCATCCAGGAGCCTTCCACATGCACACCTCAAAGTAAGTGAACTTTTCTGCATTTATTTTTAGTTTGTAATTTTCGGTGAGCTGGAACCAATTACCCAAAAACCCATTGAAACAATGGTTTCGGTTTACAAATTTTTCGGTTAACGAGCAACCTTCTAGAGCGAATTGTGCTCGTTAACCGAGGGACCACTGTATATATATATATATATATATATATATATATATATATATATATATATTTTATTTATTTTTTTTCCACGTATCATTTAACCAATTATCAGTGTACTAGCTTTTTGGGAAGGTGGTCTGTTCAGTATCATTTTATGAAAATTTTTCTCTAGTTTTAGTACTGTAGATACAGGAGGAAACCACAGTACCTATTGAAAATTTGTGATGTTTGGTAGGATCACACTGGATAACACTCTTCCCACATGTGTCGCAGGCCAGAACTTGAATCCACGACATAGTAGTGAGAAATATGTGCCACTATTTTAAAGGGTGTGCAGTACTATACATCTAGTAATAGACCTCTTAGACACTCTTGACATGATACAAAATGTATGTTTTACTCTGTACCAGGGTAATAACTAAAATAACTTATCAAGGACTTTCTCTGTGGCTCATGCTGTATTATGCTTTTATATTTAAATTTCAGTTAGTTTCTTAACTTTTCATACAAAAGGGACTCAGAAATAGGCACCCCTTCACTTATTTGTTGCTTAACCCTTACCCTTATATGCATCAATTGATGTCTTATGTTTTAGTGCCACGATACACTGTCAGCTCACTCTACCTTCCCTCTAGAGTCTAGTACAACAGTGTCCATTCTTAATTTTGGTGGATCTGGATGGGAGGAATAGATTGTTGGGAGACAATGTGACCAATCAACAGTGAGCCATGTTGGAGTCTTTGGTACAGGATCTGGATCTCCATTATCATGAACATCGGTGCCCCAACCCATTTCCATGTGCATACAAGAACCCACTCAGTCCTAGACTCTCCTTTTGCTCTGCAGCAGCAGGCATGGATTTTTTGTAGGAAATCTGGGATGATCTATGTGGGAGTGAGTACTTCCCACACCTTATGTGATTGGCCCTAACCATCTTCCTAGCTGGTGTCTGGACAGGGCTAACCGGGACTGCTTCAAACTCCAAAGCAATGGAATACTTTACCTTGACACTGCTTAGTGTTGGTGAACAAACCATCCATAATACTTCTGGGTTATTTAACCCTTTGGCTATGGTAGGTTTCCCTAATCTGAATAAAATCGTCTGGCGGCAGCCAGAATAAAATGGCAAGTGTGGGAAATGCAGCGAAAGGGTTAATAGGCAGCTAGTCCCATGATTTTCTAAAGAGTGCAGTTGCCATAGTGGCCAAAAAGGGGGCCTGATGTTGAAACAGGCGGTATCCTTGTCAATATTATCTTCTGGAATTCAAGCGGGAAAGGGCTCATGCTCGTAAAATATTAAAGGAGGCACGGTGTATGTCTTGGGCTGAGATTGTGAACATAGTTAACACTTGCACTCCCATGTCAAAACTGTGGAAGAGTGAGAAGGATTGCTGGTGGTGTGGCATCAATCACTAGAGGTACCAATGTGTTTGCTGAGGCATTTGTGTCTGTGCCAATCATCTTCATGCTCCAGCAACAAGAGGCATTAGTGCGGCAAGGCCTTGACTTCTCATCCCGGAGAGAAGAGGCTCATAATTCAACATTTAGTCTGATGACATCCCTTATGCTATGCTCAGGCATATCGGGGTGCCATCCAAGGAGTTTCTGCTTGAACTGTTTTCCATTGTATGGCAGGAGGAGAGGATGCCTCTAACATGGAAATTTGCTGTGGTTCTGCCATTCTCTAAGCCCGGGAAGGACAATTCTCATTCACTAAACTTTAGACCAATTACCCTGACCTCGTGCATCTGTAAAGTTTTAAAAGCAATGGTTAATGTGAGACGAATACATTACATGGTGTTTGGAACCACATATCACCAGCCTGATGTGGGTTCCGAAAATGCACTGTTAAGATTTGAATCAGAGGTGTGTCAATCATATGCTGTGGAACTTCATCATCATCTGGACTGATCACAGATATGATGAAACCACATGATGAAATGTTACCAGTACTTCAATGGCATTACAAGTATTTGATTTTTATGAAGTGTTTCAAGCAACTCTAGCCTTATGGTTTGACAACACTACCACACATACAAGACCTTGTCAATTACTGCTTGAATCGCAAGTAACCAGTATGTCATGTAGACGACTTTTCTTCTTCCCCCCGAAGAGGCTACTGAGCTCTCTTTCATTCGAGCCTGACTCAGAGTTTGTGTGTGTGTGTGTATAAGTGTATTATATGAATTACCATTTTGAAATACCTGTACATTGTAATCAAAGATGTACAGAGAATGCTATGCAAATGTTCAATAAGGAAACTGCATATTGTGTAGTGTGATGCACTGAAAAAACTAATTTTAAGCAGTGTGAGCCAGCTCTGTGAATTCTAGTCCTCACTAGCTGTATTTTCCAACCAGCTTGCACTGATGCCACTTTTGACCAGTTATTGGTCACACTGTTTATAATATAGCATTTATTTAACAGGTAACATTGGCTGGTATAAGGGACTTGCCATCTGTGGATGCAGAAACAGTGAACACACACACAACAGAGATGCCAGAGACCAAGAAGAGGAAGTTGCCCAATGACTGATGGATAAAACTTCCTTTCTATGCATTAATTGAGGATGGATAAAATATTTTGTATGTATTAATCTTAGTTCCTAACTGCACACAGATTAAAGTTTAATAAATCATATGTACACTTTTGTTTCCTTATTCCAGTATGGAGGGGAATGTTTTCATGTCACCAATACAGTTTGTCCAACCTTTATATTGGTAGTGCCACATAACTTCAAACCTTAAAAAGTAAAATGTATTCTCAACCTAAGTGCAGGTAAATTGTCTAGTGAAAAGAAATTACTCGAGGTGCAATTGACAGTAGCAACTAGATTGAAAATGTGTTTGACATGAAGAATTCAGATAGACAGATGCTCTTGCAATTTTTTTCAGGATGTACAGTAGCTAAACAACTATCTCTGCAGGTGGGGATCGATGTGTTCCGAAATTCTACGTGTGACTAGCGACAGCCCTCTCATACCAAAATTTATCATCCATTGTCTCATATTGTTCCCACACAGTATACGCAAATAGTTGTTTTAGCTACTGTACATAAGACAATGAAGGATTACAAACAACACGGCAAATCATTTTTTTTTTTATGGGGATTAACCCACCCGGGAACAGGTCACCAACCGACAATGGGGCCTGGGGGGCGAAAGTGTAATAATTATCCATAAAAATAAAATTTATAATAAAAAGTGAAAATAATATCACTAATAATGATGAGAAAGAACTCGAAAAAAATGAGAAATGCTATAGTGGTCCCAAGGTCAACGAGCACAATTCGTTCCAGAAGGTTGCTCGTTAACCGAAACCATCGTTTCAATCGTTTTTGGGGTATTTGGTTCCAGCTCACAGAAAATTGCCTAAAGTCGACAAAAAAGGAAGTAAAGTACATTTACTTTGAGGTGTGTATGTAGAAGGCTCCTGGATGATGATGATGATGGGAATTAGAATGGGGGTGGAGAAGAAGGGAGAAGAGAAGGCATTGGGGTGGAAGAGCAGTCACCCCATGGTGCCATTTCACCCATAAAATTTTAGTTCACTTGGTGTAATTCAAGATTATTTTCTTTAAATCAACACTGCACTGCATTATATATTGTCAATATGTAAAATAAATTTCAAAATAACCAATAATTTGCTTGGAAACACATAAAAAAGCGTTTAGTTGAAGAGTCTCAAGCAAGATGTTACCTCCACTGAAAACAGAGAGACTAACTCCTGTTTGCTGTGTTAGGAGGCTGTTTGGTGCACAAAAAACTAGCTTCCTATACTTCAATTATGTTCAATAATTGTTAAAATGACTAATAAATTTAATGTAAAACTTAAAATTATTGAATAGTACAAACTTCTTGATATTTACTGAAATAGTAAGGAATTTAAGCCCTAGAACGGATTGCTGTATTGGCGGACTAATACTACAGCTGGTGGACCGCCAAATGCAAGCGAAAACATGTGGAGGGGCGCTCATAAGAAATTCGTTAATCGAGGGATTGCTCGTTAACCGAAGTTAAGAATCTTATGGAAGGTAATTCGTTAACCAAAATCTTCATTAACCGAGGGATCACTGTACTGTAAGTATGTTGTGTTGTCAAAGTAAGAGAAACAATTGAGACCTTGCAATTGTGTAAATGAGGCAGAAAGACAGATCAGCAACCTGGGATGTGTTCACAATTTTTGTGATGCCAAACGGCAGCAGGGTCTACCATTAGACACCACATTGTTTCCAATATCTTCCCAGGCAGTAGTACCTTCTTGTTTGATAGCTGCCTACTTTCGTGAGTAGTCCAAGAGCCATTAGATGCTAATCATGTTGTAAAGGAAGATATAATTAAAAGACAAATGAAGGACATCTTTTGGGTTTATTTCACTTATTTTTCTACATGTATAAATACAATTTTTCAAGGTGAATTTTCTTACTGGTTAACCTGAATGCCCCCCAGATTATCATGAGTAATCCCACAGTTCAGCATATGTACAAGGAAACATCTCATGAAAAGGAATGGTATTCAACTGCACCGTAGATCCATATCATTACAGGCATTCCATACATACATGGTTTAGTAGCACAAACTGCCACAATTATCTGAATTAGACCATGGGTTTAGCATCTGCAAGCTGGAACCAGTAGCCACATTCACATCGCTTCTTGTCACCCTTTTCTAGCCACATCCAGTTGATACAAGTTGCATCCTCCTCGCAAATGCATCCAACAAGTCGCTTCTCATAGAAAGATGGAACAACAGTTGGATTTGTCTGATCGCCACTTATACGCTTGTATACTCTCATGTCAAAGGGATTCTGAAAATGAAAGATCTGCAGTAAAATCAACAACAAAGTTTTTGCCATGGATAGCTGACAAGTTACAGGTATATACATTACTTTCAATAGCTAGTTTCAAATAGCAATTGGCAAAATAAATATTGATGTATTCAAATGAATTTAATTATTAGTTATCCCCCCCTCCCCACCCCACCCAAAAAAAAATCTGCTTATTGGTAAAGGAACCACTAATATACCATTAAAGTATGGTGTAACTCCTTCATAAGCAAATCAATAACAGTACTGTACAAGTATGGCTAGATATTGTATACTTAGATACTTATTCTTACATCATTGCCCGCAGCCTTCGCCATCAACTCCTGCTTTTCCAATCCAGTGGCATGCTCAAGTGGGTCTGCCATCACTGAAGAGGAGAAAATCTTTAAAAGTAAGAACAGTAATATACCTGGGATTGAGAATTACTACCTGTGTGTTCATGTACTGTACTGTATAAAGTAGACATTTAGAAAGGGAAAAGTACATTAGAACCTCTCAAGTTTGTCAACCATTTCCAATATTGATTTTTTTGTGTGTGTGTATGCACTTTATTTTGTTGGTGATTAAGTGGGGTTTCTGTGTTCACATTTAAGTTGTACATTAGGATGGTTAGAATTTCCCTAAATTTTGGTGGTGCCGATAAATTAAACAATTACAATGTTCTTATCATTATAGGAAGTATTTTAAAATGGGGTGACATTTACTAGAACCTAACCAACCAAAGAAACCTATTTAACCTTATCTAACTTCCTAGCCATATAGCTCCAGACACCCTCCTCCCACCATATTAAACAGAAATTACTTATTTTAATATCTGGTACCAATATTAGCAATTTTGTTGAAGCATCATGGTGTGGACGTGGGAGTACACTCAGACCAAGTAACTCGGTTGTAAACAGAGCAGACAACCATATGATGACTCTGCAGATTTTCTGGAGGAGTATTTATGATAATTTATTTATTGGTGTACAAAGCATGTAGGGGTGTTGGGGGTACAACTGTAATGCACGTAACTCCCCAAAATGTCGTGGGTTCGAGCCTCAGCCCAGACACATGTGAGAAGGGTTTTATCTGGTGTGACCTTCACTGTCAATCATCATCCAGCATAGGTTAAGTTAGGTTGGGTTGGGTTGAAATTGTTTTTCCGGTGTTTTTTTTATGTGTTTTGAAGTATTCTGACCGTAGGTGGTGGATGACTGAAACGATAATTTTATCAGATAGAGCGTCCTAACAGATAATAAGCTGATAAGTGGTGAAAAAAAAATTAACTTTTACACTGCAATTTCCCTTAGACTTCATGCCCTGCTGTCTACAAGTGATTTATGGTTGTAGATATAGAAAAACAACAACAAATAGTATAAGTGAAAATACAAACTACTTACAATCACCAAAAAAAAAAAAAAAGGAATCCTATAAACGTTTTCTGGTTGTAGCGGTTTCCTCATAAACTACCTTTTCTCGGTTACACAGTATGACAGACACAGGCTCACAGTATGACAGACACAGGCTCACAGGAAGCCAGTGCACTAAAATAAAAATTCTTCCTTCCCATTCCATCACGTACACCTCACAATACCCGGCTTCCATACATATATCACGATGAAACTAACCACCCAAGCTACTTACTCTTGTTTGCAAACCTAACCGAAGTGACTTGTACACCACGGCGAGTAGTTTGAGACAAGGAACGGATAATAAGAGCAGCCATTTCACTGTTAAACCTGACGGTCTCTCTCTCAGCTGGTCGACAATGTCCTCTGATTGCGTAAAGATGTCGTGATGGTTCTCAGTGGTCCCACACCGCAATACTAATTACTTATATATAAAACCGTTACTTTATATATATTTAAAAGTTCCTAAAGATATATATAGGGTTTATATATTTTATAACTTGTAATTTATATAAGAATTAGTAAAAAGAACCACATAGATTGTCAAAACATAAACATCACTTGAAGGAGTCTGTGGTAAGGCTGTGACCATGAGCTAGTATGTTTTGTCATCACTATCTTGGTAAGGAAAGGCAGCCGGTGACTTATTTAATCGATTCATTATGCCTTATTAGTTTTTCCTACAATATATATTCAGTGTCAGTAGAGGAGCAGTAAATGCGTCTACCCGGAGAAAAAATGCGATGTTTGGTGCTGTACAACCCTTCAGTTCCCACCCTAGGACAGTACAGTAGTACAACCCTTCAGTTCCCACCCTAGGACACAGTAGTACACCCCTTCAGTTCCCACCCTAGGACAGTACAGTAGTGAGGGATAGGCGGATTAGGTGAAGAGTCATTTTATGCCATAACGGGAATTAATAGCCCAAATTGCTATTTTCTTGTGTGTTTTTTTTATGGTGGTTTGAACAAATATGACCTTTATTTCCTTGGGAAATGCATATTTAAGGAGATATGGCCCCTCTAACATTAGCAACTACAAATATTTCTTCCTAAGTTGGCAGAGCCATGATGATGAGGGAAAATGTGGGGCTGGTACACGTAAAAAAAAGAAAAAGAAGGCACAGGATACAGGTACAGCAACCTCAGGGTGAAACTTGGGGAATTGTTAAGTGTGAGGAGTTTGTGCTTTTAAGTTATAATTGAGGACTAATAAGGAGCGCCCAGGCAAATAACTGTGTGTTCCAGGGACTGACTAACACCCTCTGAAGCCCAGCACCTTTATGTAACTTGATTAGGTTAGCCACTTGCGTGCTTGATGAAATTGACGTATTGGTACGACTACATTGGCAAGAATTACGAGTAATGGTGGAGCAAACGGCTTACACCAGAAAGAGTTGTTTGATTTTTTTTTTTTTTTTCCATGGATGCTCTTTGGATGATCGTAATGAAAATGATACAACAGTGCACAGAATCTAATAGAACCTGACCTAACCAAAAAACCTACCTAATCTTACTGCCCCCTGGACTCCTGACCTAACCAAAAAACCTACCTAATCTTACTGCCCCCTGGACTCCCAGGCATATTAGGCAAAAAGAACTTTCTTTGATATCTGGTACCAGTGGAAGCACTATCATGAAGCAACATGGTGTGATTTTACGTTTTTTGTGGATGTGATATGGTCGCCATTGAAAAACAACATTTCTTCTCCCTCACTCCTCAGTCCTCCTTGAGGAAGAACAATAAGAATACAAACATATAGTTCACTTATTAACCGATGCTACTCATAAGGTATTGGAAATTAATCGAAACCTATACTGTATTGCACAGAAAGAAACATTATATGGGATTTGCGCAGGATATAGACACTCGACTGGATATTGAAGGCTAAAAAAAAGGCATTAAGCCTATAATAAAAGTATTAAAAGCTCTGTTATGACGCTTCATTGTTTGCTGACAGTCTTATGAGACCGGAATCTGAATTTATTTGTTTATAATCGGATGAGAACATGCTGATAGGACAGAATTTTTGGTGGAATATTTGCAATAAAAAATAAACTTCTTCACGTACAAAGCACATAGAGACTTGATATGTCTTATGATCATCTTTTCATAGTGTTTTTACTCCGCAATTTCCCTCATCCTTTGTGCCCTGTTCACTACAGGTGATTTACGATCACAGATAGAAAAACTAAAAATAAAAAATAATTATAATTAAAAAAAAAGTTGTATAGTTTTTATTATCATCCAAAGAAAAAATTTAACAAAATCGAACGTTTGACATTATCCGCCTGCTCCACTATTAACAAGAACTACATTGCAACTAATATACACCATCTACCAGCCAGGTTTTGTCTCATTTATACAGTAATTACAGAACCATTTATCCTTTAGCTCCACGATAAATAAGGAATTAATCGTGTTATCCCATTTTATAATCAAGGCCAAGTGATAGGTCCAGATTCCATCACTCCTCCCTTGGTTAAGGAATAACAGTGGCAAGGGATGGCAACAAGTTGATGAAACCTGAATACTGTAGTGTATTCATAGGCTTCATGTTCTGAAATTGGGCAGTGAACAGAGATATGCTTCAGGGGCATTTCCCTTTGAAGCCCCTGTCTTTTATAAATAAGGAGTCCAATTATGTAGTGAATGGATAAGTTCCTTCTGTAATCCCAAACTACTATGGTCAAGACAATGATAGGGTGGACATTGTGGACTTAGTGAGATTAACACCTATTATTGAACCATTCATTTCCCTTTGATTTTATAACAAGGTATCAGAATCAATCCCTCGTGTAAAATTTCAAGTGAATTCCAAATATAAAGTCAAAGGCTCTTATTACGTATGATGTACCATCTATTTTTTTTTATTTACAGAATTTCCATAAGTAAAAATGGGTGATCGTTACAACATTCATTCTCAACTGGAACATTTGCAGTCAAAATATATTGGCACAGGTAAAGTATGATTCTGTAACATTTAACTTTATTAGTAGGCAATAAATCAACACCAAAATCGAAATGATCTAAGTGAGCTTTAGGTTAAGTTATACTAGGTCAAGATTATAAATTATGGAAAATAAATTATTTACATGATCAGTTATAGAGAAGTGTCAAGTTTCTGAAAATTTAGTGTTGTTAAAGGAGTACAATATGTTAAGTTACATTGACCCATAGGTGTAGTATGTCAATAGGGAACTCATAGACAGCATAAAGTTAAGTTTAGACTCAACAGGGATCAAAAGATGAGAGAGGAAGTGTATGTTACATTTGATCAAGTTTATGGAGACGTGTAGGAAAAATAATTTGAACTGACTTTAAATCATTCTGTTATATTTACAAATACAGTATACAGGAATATGTTCTGTGTATGATGCAGCAATTTGATATAAGTAAACAAATAAATGAATGATAATACAGTACTGTACTGTATTATGGTGATAATGATGTTTGTGTTTTATTACAGGTCATGCAGACACAGCACAGTTTGAATGGTGTGTCAATCAACAGCGTGACACTTACGCTTCTTATATGGGTCACTTTGACATGTTGAACATGATTGCAATTGGAGAAAATGAAACAAAAGCCCGTGTTCGTTTTAACATGATGGAGAAAATGGTTCAACCCTGTGGACCACCACCTGAAAAGAATGAAGATTAGGTATCTTTATTAGTATTGTTTACATTTGTGAATGTAGAATGATAGATTACTGTTTAACTAATATGATGGACCATTTTCTTATGTTTTTCCTAATAATTAGATGAATTACAAATAAATTTTTGCACATTAATCACATAATTTCTTTAATTTCCCTGTACTGTATGTGCATCTGTTGCACCATACTTCACGTTCATAGCCAAGGGGTGAAGAGGTAGACTTGCATCCTAAGGGGAGAGAAGACCAGCCCTTGAAGGTTGACTAACAGCAGACTATGGCTTAACATATTTGCTCATACCAGTACAGAACCCACCTTTATTCTGGTCTCATTAGGCAATACACTAGCAGAGCCTTTATTCCTTGGAGCCTAGTTAGCACTGAGCTATCTTGTAGTATACTTGTGATCACAGCAGGTAGTAACTAACCCACTAACTAATGTATTGTCTAGTTCTAGTAATCTCAGATCACAGTTCTCTAACATGGTGGGGTGTTTGATATACTGTTCTGTACATATAAAACAAAACAAATGAAAATAGTTAAAACAGTTTTTAGTGACAATACTGTATGTGGAAAAGTGAGATAACGAGTGGGCTTGATCACAAGGCTGTAGAGGGACTGACCATGAGGACGTGTGAGGGAGGGTGACTCCGGGTACCTCCATACTTCTCTTGAAACTTTTCAAATGAATTTACATAATTTCTTTATCCAATTTCCAGTTTCTCACAATGTATCTCTGTAACAGTTGCATGTAGGAAAGGGACTAAAGTAAACATTTACAGTATTAGGGAACTGTACACATCATTATTGCAGAGATGCTTCATAAACTAACAAGGACATCAGCAACAACTCCCCAGGTATATATTGTACCTATATAGCTGTGTTAGCAACAACAGACTTGGAGCCATTATGATGGACACTGACATTTTCCTGGACGAGTGAGTGAAGTTTATAACTCCGTAAGACCCATCAACCTGGTATAGTAGTTGTTGTGGAACTGTTGTATAAGACAAGGAGGATCAACCAGGATGATAACAAGTTTAACATACGGTACTGTTGATGATTATGACTCATTTATGAATCTCGGTCAGGTAACCTGTAAGAGGGGTGTGGCTATGTATACTAGACATGACCTTGGGGCCCAGTCAAGTGAGGGTGCAGGGGGAGAATGTTTTTGAAGAATTGAAATGGTATAAAATTAAACCAAAGGAAAAAGAATAACTCATTTTTGGATGTATTAATAGATCCCCAAATTTTATTTGATGAAACCAAATGCAGTGGCACTCAACTCTTGTCACAGGGGAAAGCTAAAACTACTGGATCTCATGAAAACTAATGAGGAGGGTATGGTGGCCAAGCTGGTGCATGCCTAGTATTTGCCAACAGTGCGTGACAGAGACGTAACCGATCGCCCGGGCGGCTAGCGAGCCCATCTTTTGGTGAAGAGGATAAATGAAAAGGAAAAGTAATCAGAGACGTGACCGATCGCCCAAGCGGCTAACGAGCCGATCAGTGGCGTAGAGGATAAAAGAAAAAAAGTAAAAGTAAGCTGGAGCATTTAGCTCCCAATGGCACTAGTCATCACATTTTTATTATATATATATATATATATATATATATATATATATATATATATATATATATATATATATATATATATATATATATCACCATCTTACTAGCCATTTAAACGCTCTATCCAGTGTTAGTGCAGGAGGAAATCAGGGACTGGGAAACCTGTAGTATTTAGTAGTGAGGGTCAAACTGGATAAAACCCTTCTCACGTGTGTCCGTGCAGAGGCTCGAACCCTTGACAAATTAGTGAGAGATACGCTTGTTACCACTGTCCCACCTACACAGATTTAACTGTTACTTGGTACATGATAAGTGCAGGCCAAAGTTTAAACATTACAATGCGTTCCCAATATATTTATTTTGCTATAATCGTCAAAATGGTCTCTGTTGTTAAAATAAATGAGTATGTAATAACTCAATAGGGACCTTTCCAACACGTCAGTGCACTTGCTCTACTTTGCTTTTATTCATTTCAAAGCTCATTTGTGCTTTGCATATTACTGGGTTTTTTTATTAAGGTTACAGCTTGATCATAGGTGTTTGTGATTTACTACATATTTATAGCCCAGTTTATCCTCGAAGAAAAAGAAAGCTAGATTCTCGACTTTAAGGAAATATAACGAATTAATTATTTTTAGAGAGCTTCATTTGTTATTTATCCCATCTTACAAATCATCAGAAAATAAAAATATATATCTATGTCATAAAATTTTCATTAAAACGTTTCTTAGTAAAATATAAATACTCCTCCAACCATCAAGTCGAAGGGTTGTCATATCATAGGGACGAGGTACGGGCGGCTCCTGGTGACTCTCTATCACAATGACTGTTGAGGCTATGGAAGTGTCTAGTGCAGAGAAGGACAAGGAGAATGAAGGGGAGAAGAAGGATCCAGATACTTTAACTCTAGAAGGTAAGGAAAACAAGTTCTTAAATAGTCACAAAAATATACAGGACGGATAATCACATTTTGTTACTTGTTTTTTCCGTAGATTTTTAAAGACGAAGGTGACAGTCATATACAGACTTTAGACAGATATATTACTTCAATTATGTGACTCTAAAACAAACTAACTGTTGGTTATTTTAGGAAGCAAATTCGGTAATGTTGTAAGTGGTTATTTTTCCCCTAATATCCATATCCCTCAGAAGTAAAGGTCATATTCGTTTATAACCAGAAAAATATACAAGAAAAACCTTTACCTAGTACTGTAGGTTAGGTTAGGTTAGGTTAGATAAGATAAGGAAAGGTTCTTTTAGTTATGTAAATTCCACATTTATCCTCTGCCCCTTTGGTGGGGTTATGCATGACAGTAGGAAGGTCGTCACTTGGTGATTACATACAATTCTGGTAAATATCAGGTTAAGGATTTATAGCGGTACAGTTCTGGTTCTTAATTTTCTTTCTTGTATGGTAATTATTCCGCTAACACCTGGGGTCATGGTATAAGGTGCTATACATTGCACCACAGACTGTCTAGGGCACAAGAATTACTATTCAACATCCTCTGGTAAAATTTGGTTACTACGGTACTGCTTGAGTATTTCTATAAGGTAAGTTTTATATACTGTGTGTTGGCTTAAATCATACATAAATAAATATTTTTACCGTATATATTTAATTACAAATATTCCTTTTAAAAACAAATTGTACTGTCTGGTGCTTATTATCGTATCATTAAATGTTGTTATCTTTTCAGATTTAAAAGAGCAAATCCGGTTAGTTGAACGCAGTATAGTCAGTAAAGAACCGCGCTTTGTTCTGCGTGTACTCCGTGCACTACCTACCACCAGACGTAAATTGACACCAAATGTTCTGCGTCGTTTGGTTGCCACATACTATGGTCGTCCAGAGAACAAACAAGAGCGAGAGACCATCCTACAGTTTATTGAGGAGCCTATGGACATGGATGCTACTCCTCAAGGTAAATTGTAGTGCTTCCAATTATTGCTAGCAGTGATGGCGTGTGAGAGAGAGTAATTTCTTGTTTTAGGCCATTATTCATTTATCTGGCAAATGTTTGAACCTGCATTCAAGAGTGGGAGTAATGGGTATGATTAGGTTTGTTCTAAAGTACAGTAAGGGGATACTGTACCCTGATATAATGTTAGGAGCACATTGGGTTCTTACCTTAAGAGTAGACAGACCTGCACACAATATCCTCATGGAAGAGATTATTGTGCACTTTTGTTATACAGTATGCTGCACTGCACAGTCTACCCTTGCTATTTACTGTTTTATGGTTCATGGTTTTGACTATGCAATCCATTCCCTCTAACCCCCAAAATTAGTTGGAGTTATAAAAAAGTAGATCTATGTAACATAAACAGCTCCTTCCCTAACAAGTGTACTGTATGCAATAAGAAAGCCAATCAGGAGGAGGAGATCAAGAGAATTGATAGAAGTAAACGTGATAGTTGGGGTTGAGAAAGACATGCAAAACATTAGGCTGAAAGTTGAGGAGTCTGAAGACAGAGGAACTTTATAGGGATGGATTTCAAAAGGCAACTCCTTATCTTTGGACTTGGCTAAAGGAAGAAGAAATCAGTTGGGTAGGGTGTAGAAGTGAAGTTAATTATATAAACAACCTTATTTTGTTACTTAAAATATTTTAGGAGTGTGTAAGAATAGTTTGGCTCCATTATTAATCACTAATGTTTTCATAAGTTACCTCTTGTAGTGAAATATTCACTTAAAGAACAAGACCTAATGGAATCAGACCTTGTTCTTTGTCGCCTATGTAAAGGTTGTTTATACTAATACAAAGCTGAAAACCTGTGTCATGTACATTGGGCAAAAGGGCAGATTGTGGCATGTTGCCTCAAATGATGAATACAGTTCTAGTGCCTGTAATGTATCATGGAAGAATAGCATTTTAGTATTTGGGGAATTATGGGATTATTTTTTATATTATAATTTATTGTATTTGCTTATTAGAAGGACATTGACACAAGAATTATTGATGTTTTACCTTTGTTGTAGCTCCCGTGGTACGTCAACGTGTCCAGTTGGTGCTGGAAGTGGACGTTTACATTCATCTTCTTGTACTTCTCAGGCTCCTGGATGTTAATAACAATGAAGATGCCATCAAGTGCTCTGGTATGTAATTTCATGATATGTGTATTTAACACAATACATAATGTCCTTTTGTGGAATTAGATTACCATTTTTCCTCAAGTTTGGAAAATGTGATGTTACAGCATTTTATTTGCAGTTTAATGTTTTAATTTTTTAGGTGAGAGACTGCATAATTAATTTTGTGATTTACTATTTGGTTAGTTGACTTAACATTGGACTTAATCTTTCGTAGGAAGAATGTATGTGATGACTGAGTTGTAGATGTGTCCCTCATTACTGCTCCTCCATGGCCCTTAAATTTTTACTGTAATGTACAGTAAATGTCATATTTGTTTTCTTTTACATTTTTCCTTTATTTTGAAGTCAATTTACAAATTACCCTTTACTCTACAGGTATATATCAAATTTTTCTATTACAGTATTTAATACTGTATGTTGTATTATTTAAGATGAAACATACACCATAAGAGGCTAATCATACTAGAATATACTGTATTAATTAATAAATAAAACAAAAACTGTCAAATGCTGCAACAGCCAGTCCTACTCCACCTCCAGGATGTTTACACTTGAAGTGTCATCTTGTATTTATTAGCTCTAATTAGGCCTATATCAAATCTGATTAAATAACTTTACAGTATCCCTATTAAAGACAATACTGTACAGTATATATTTTAATAATAAATAACGTAATATATTTTATAAAAAATCGATTATTTTTATAAAATATACTACCTTATATATGACATTTTCAATTATAGATCTCCTGATGACTAAAGTGACATCAGTGAATCGTCGCACCCTTGACCTCTTGGCTGCTCGCTGTTACTTCTACCACTCACGTGTCTATGAGGTCAATAAAAGGCTGGATGAGATAAGAGGGTGAGTTTTACTGTAACAGTAAAAACATATTGTGCTGTATATGGCTTCACTTATCAGGCTAAAATGTATTTTGCTTTTGCCTTCCTTTAGCACTCAGCTATCTCATAAAAGACTATTATTCTAATGTTTTCCTAAGAAAGTCTTTAGTCAGGGCAGTATCTGGTCTCCCAGAATACATTAGCAATGAATTTTTTAAACGGTTTAATGAAAATTTTCATATAATTATTGGCCTGTATACAGTATATTGCTACCATCTTCCCCACATATTTAAACAAGTTCTGATGATGAGAACTAATGAGAAGAAAAAAATCACAATTACATTGCAAATTACCCCTTGTATATTCCACAATATAAGTCACCCTTTTGGGCATTTTTTTTTTTTTTTTTACTGTTGCTCTTTATCTGTAGTCTAGAGTGTTTATATACTAACAGCAACACTTTTTGAAATTGTGAAAATGTAGAACAGAATTACACAAGGAAGATATTTTTACATACAGTGCTTTGGCATGGCTCTTTACTAGCAGTGATGCCACAGTAGTCAGGATTGTGTAAGGTTTAACATTATGACACCTAATATACTTGCAGATTTTTGCACCAACGTCTTTGCCAAGCAACACTGCGTAAGGACCATGAGGGACAGGCAGTGCTTATCAACTGTCTGCTGCGCAACTATCTCCATTACTCTCTCTATGACCAGGCTCAAAAGCTCATTGTGAAGCTTGAGTTTCCTCAGCAGGTTAGTAGTGTATTATGTAAATCAGGATGTTTGTTGGCAAACATTTTTGTGAATTAGTCATCTGTTCATTGTACAATATTGTGCAATATATTATTGGTACAATGGTCCCTTGATATAGTAGTGCACTTCATTACTGTCCTTTTGATATAGCAAGGTAACCTAAACTACTTATGGTTTTTGTTATTGCATGATGGAAACCCAGGAAAATCAAATTAGCAACAGGAAATGAATCACCAAGTTAATGATATCCTCTGTTGCTCATTAATGGAATGTTTATTTATATAAATAAAGAGAATAAGCTCTCCCAATACCAGACTAAGTATATCTATCTGGTATATCTATTCATAACAAATTGTTTAAGAAGTGATGTTCTTAAGTAGCCTGATTCGGAAATCCCTCGACCCTCTGGAATTTTACACCCTGCAATATTGACGGTATGCACCCCTACCCAACCTTGGAATTTTTGCCAATCCAGACAGGCCTTGCCCCCCAATTATTCTGGATTAGAGGGAGTTTACTGTATATAAAAGAGCCAATAATGCCCATTACCAATATTTTCATATCTATCCCAGGTTCTACAGTATACTGTATTTTTGTTTATGTATTCTTTTTTAAAATGTTTAACTTGAGATGATTGTATTGTATTTAATTTCTTAAGTTTCTATACTGTATTTGAGTTCTTATATTTGTAACTTGTCTCCATAGGCCAACAACAATGAAGTGGCTCGCTACCATTACTATATGGGGCGTATTAAGGGAATACAACTTGAGTATTCAGAAGCTCACAAGCACTTGATTCAGGCTCTCCGTAAGGCCCCACAACAGACAGCCGTTGGTTTTAGGCAGTCTGTGCAGAAGATAGCAGTGGTGGTAGAATTATTGCTTGGCGACATCCCAGAGAGACAGGTATGTAAAACTTGTATCAATTTTGAAAGCGCTAAGTTCTTCAATTAGTTAAATGCTGTATGTAATTAAACAGTAAAAACGCGATTTTATCAATGTATTTGATTATTTTTTTCATAGGTTGTTCGTGGTTAAATATATTAAGGGCACTGTACTGCAAGTTTCACATAACAGGAGAAAATAAAAATATTGACTTACTCTTTTGCATAGATAAATTTGGTGTTGGTCTTTCTCTGACTTTGATTTCAGTCTTTTTGTCTAATGTCACTTGAGAGAAATTAATGCTTTGTAAGTGTCCTGTATTTTACGTTGTTTTCCATGATCTCTGGTACTGTAAACCTTAATACACTGATACACTTGGGTTAGGCTAATGAAAAATATAGTCACCATTTATAAAATAAGTTTTCATGATCAAGCTATCCTGTATATTAGAAATTATGTCAATTATAAGACTGGCCAAAGGTGAAACATTTTGAATATCATGTCTCTTAGATATGATTTGTCCTAAATAGTGGCACCAGAATAAAACTATCCAACAATTACTTCATCCACAGATATTTCGGCAAGCTATTATGCGGAAAGCCCTGGCTCCATATTTACAGCTGACTCAGACAGTTAGACTAGGTAACTTGGTCCACTTCACCAATACACTCAATGAGTACAAGAGTAAGGTGAGTTGAAGTTGTTTTAGAGTCCATTTTATTGACTTGCTCAGAATTATTTACGCTTCCATCCTAAGTTGCATCATGATCATTAAAAAAGAATCCTTGAAACCAATACTCTAAGGTTTGTTTAACTTTTTATATCAAGTGATATCCCTGTTATCCAGAATACTGGTACAGAGGTCTGTCAGATGTGTAAATTATTTTATTTGTTGTTTCTGTAATTATCTTCCCATTTTTTTTTACTACAACAAATATACTGTGCCATGTTTCATCCTTCCAAGGCCAATAATTCATTTAAGTGTAAATTTAAAATAATTTGTATCCTGTTGAATGCTTTTTAAGATTTTATAGGGAAAATAAGGAACTTGTTAGCATGTGTTGGGAAGAGTGATTGGCAAACCAGTTAAAGTGGGACTATTTCAGGGACCTGCATTGCCATCTTAGTTCTTCAATATTTCTGTGTATTAGATAGAGAAGTGAAAGCAAGGGTAATGTAGAGGGGAGCAAGTTTGGTAAATCGTGATGTTAAATGTACAATACCGTAATTTAGATACGAGATAGTAGCTATTTGTAGTTGACACTGCCATTGAAGGCAATTTAGAAGTAAAGTTTGCAAATTTTAGTGAATCTGAATGAAAGAGTGTGTACTGATATAAAGATAATAGTCAATGTGAATAAAAGTTCGTGATACAAGTGGATAGAAAAGGGAGAGAAAAAGACTGTTTTGAATGGAGATGAAGTAGATGAGGTATTTCAGATACTGGTATATGAGAGTGGATTTGATCTTTATTAAATAATGAGTGATAAATTGAATTGCAGAATAGTTTTATTATGTTATTTCCTTTGTTTTCCAGTTTCAAGGTGACCACACTTTCATGTTAATTCTGCGTCTGCGCCACAATGTGATCAAGACTGGCCTACGAGCTATATCTCTCTCGTACTCTCGTGTCTCTTTGGCAGATGTAGCTTCAAAGCTTACTCTTGGGTCACGTGAAGATGCTGAGTTCATTGTAGCTAAAGCAATCAGGGATGGAGTAATTGAGGTAAGTAGCTCAGGCCAAGTAGTTTTGTAAATATGAATTGAATGAGATGCTCTGTAGTGGAGCTTCCAGTTAACGTACACTCGGGATATATTTGACTAGTTGAAAACTGAACAAATACTTTGAGTTATGAAACAAGAAAGATACCTTTGCAAAATAAATGTTCATTGTATAGGGAGCACAAGGGCCTGCTACAGATCAGAAACCTTTATTTGTGTATGCATACTTGTGTGTATATTTAATTTAAAACTTCTATTCGTGACAGTAGACAAAGCACGCTTCATTACTATCCACATCAGTAGGTATTGTAATGTTTTTGTTCCTTGATTTAAACTATAGGTGACTGACTTAATGTCACTCTGGGTGTACTGTAATCAGCTGGGTAGCCCTGAGTGAGTGTCTCTTAGTCAATGCTTTGTTTTTAAATCATGGAAAACACATGCCTATCAGCCTCTCACAGTGGATATCCCAAACACAAGACACCTTATATCTTTACATCATCAAAATGGCAAAGAATTTTTGATTGTGAAGTTCCATGTGTTGGAGAATGACTTGGGACCTTCATCCCCTAAAAAAAAATATTTATATATATTAAAGTGGTTAGAGTAAATAATGAACTATATGTAAAAGTATATGTACAGTAGAACCACAATACACCAGACTGCTCTGGATCTCCCCTCTATTACCCAGAAATATTTTTAAAAATCCAGAAAAACCAGCTTCAGACCGTCTGGTTTGTGTGTCCGTATGTGCAGTTGAATGTCTGTGTGTTGGTGTTGCATGGCACATGGTGATTAGTAGTTAAAGGGATCTCACAGGAAATTTAATTATAAAAATAGGAAGAGGAATTACCAAGATAGGAAGAGGAGAAGAATGTGGTACCAAAAGTGCTTTTGACAATTAAAACATTTAATAAGTATTACAGTTCATTGTACTGATACTGCAGTGTAAGTGTAGCCAACAAAACAGTAATTTTTATGGGTAAAAATAAAGGATTTGCTTCCTTTTAACGGACAATTGTTTTCCTGAAGTACCTGATAGCATATCAGTAAACAGATGTGATTTGTTGCATTAAGACTTGAATTTATGAATTTCACAAGTACTGTACTAGTGGTTGCTTCATTACAGGCTGTTATTGACCATGAGCATGGCTACATGCAGAGCAAGGAGACTGTGGATGTTTACTGTACACGGGAGCCACAGTCTGTGTACCATCAACGTATATCCTTCTGTCTGGACATCCACAACCAGTCTGTCAAGGCTATGCGTTACCCTCCAAAGTCATATAACAAGGATCTAGAAAGTGCTGAGGTGAGGTTAACATAATCTGCAATGCTGAATTTCTGTATTGTACATGTAATATAAAAGGCTTCATTTTTTAGTTACCAATGTCAAAGTTTGGTACTTGCACGCAATATACAATTTCTCCTTTTTGGGGGAGGGGGCTAATATTGGTACAGAAACTGTGTCGAAAAAAGTAATTACAGTAAATAGGAAAAAGTAATAAAGCTTGATGAGTGCTTAGAGAAAAACTTGATTAATACAACTGCTAATTGGGAATTTTAGTATACTAATGAATGTACAAAGATATTTTGGTGTGGAATTGTTTTTAATCACAGTGCTTTGATTGTGTAAGACTTAGCTAATTTAAAAATTTGCTGGAAAGTAGTGTATCACCTGAGATTTGCACTCATAAACCATTTGTGATTTTAATTTGAAACTTGATCCGCTTATATAACTTGTGTGCTGTTAAAAGGTGAACTAATTTTCTATTTTCAGGAGCGACGAGAGCGAGAACAACAAGACTTGGAATTAGCCAAAGAGATGGCAGAGGAAGATGATGATGGTTTTCCCTAGGATTAAGAAAACTGTAGATGTAAAAGTTAGATGATGATGCCTGAGGTGATAATTTTGAACTAAACTGTAATTTTTATAAAAGAACATAATATTTCTGCCAGAACATCATAAGGGTAAGTTGTTTGTGAAAGCTTTGTTAAAAGATTTTTTTATTCAAAATATTGTATGCTAATTTATTACAAAACTTATATTTTGTCGGGGTACTGTAATCAATTAGTAGTACATACTGTATACTCTCTGTTGAAACATCAATAAATTTTGTGTTAATAAATGGTAAAAGGATTGTTTATTATTATTATTATTATTATTATTATTATTCTGTAAATCATAGTAATACTTGTCATTAGAATTTTAAGAATATCACAACACGTGTAGATCATATCTGGCAGAGAGCAACTGAGAAAATGGCACGCCCAATATATTGACCTCATGTGTTATTCCTCTACGTCTTAATTTTCGCTGCATAGTTTGAATGTCCAGGCGGGATGAAGTACTTTGTATAGGATATTTATTTACTTGGCAACTCCACTCACATGTAATCTTTGTCTCAAGTCTAGTGGTCAAGTTAACCACCAGCTATCAGGATGGATACATGTCCTTCGATATCCCGTGACCCACCTCACTCCTCCACACCCTCATTTATACAGACTTTCTATCATTTTTCATAATACTGTATTTTCTCAAATTAAGGAACTATTTCAAGCCACCGTTTCTGTTAAATCACACTACAGTTTTTCGCTCTATTTAGCAAACTAGTTCACAAAATCAAGCGTGATTCCATTAAATTCCACACCAAATGCACCACTTGGCACGTTGGGTTTGTTTACATCTGCTCAGTCTGTGTCCTACCGCCACCGAGTGTTTATTTACTATTACCTCTCAGTCGACTATCTACTGTGCTTAAACATCGTGCTGAAAGTCTCTCAGAAGTCTCAGAAAGGAAGTGGTGTTGGGAAGAAAGTCAAAAGAGTGCAGCTATCAATTGGAAATTATAGACAAAATTTAAAACAAACACCGAACCCCTTTAGTTTAAGGTAAGTGATGAATAATGTTTACAGCATATGTACATATGTGTCTGAAGTGTCTTCGTAGTTGTGAGTGTATTAATGGAATTAATCTCGATTTAGCGAATTAGTTCAGTAAATCGAGTGAAAAATAACGGAAAAATTCCTTCTGCTAAATTGTGTTTGTTATATCGGATTCCGTTAAATTAAGAGTATAGTGCAGTAGGAGTAAACATTAAAGGCTTAAATACACTAAAAAGTTTTTCCCTAAATATTCCCTGTTATGGGGAGTGGGTCTTATATGCAGTAAAATTTGGTAATGTTTCTCTGGGTGTGGTTAGGTTTTTGCCCTACACTCAAGTTTATAGTAGACTTTTCTATGTTCCATAATGAGCCCGATACATCAGGTTTATATGAATTCGTTTAGATGGGGTTACGTGAAACAATTTTATTGTGTACAATAATTATAAACATATATGCTTAGTAGACACGATCATACAGATTACCACCATCCACTAACAACAGAAATGTGCAGTCAATATTTACACAACAGGACTGGAACTTGGAAACTTAGAATTAGCAGTGAACAGTTAGCCGGAACAATTTGTAGTGGGATAGTAGTCTTAATCTCAGTTACTTGAGGTAACTGATGTGCTTGTCTGACCTCAGAAAAATTACTGAATTACTTCCCTGACCTAACCAAACATTGTTTGCCCTTGATACAAACATGATCCATGGGGGTCTCCCCCCCCCCCCCTAGCAGAGGCCTACTGACCCATGCATGATAATTACTGATTTGGCTTTAACTCTTAACCTGCTATCGACGTTAAGTGCTAAATACTGTACTGTACTGGGCTTAGCAGTTCTGGATAATACAGTACCTGTTATGAAAAATTATTATGTAGTGCAGTAAACTTGCTGAAGGAAGCCTATGGAAGCAACATATGAGCCTGCCAGCCTTACTGAAGATGAAAATACTCATATTGTATTGTGTTTTCCTTTTCTTTTCCATGTGTAGTGACAATTATATTAAGGTAATTTAAAGGGTTAAATATTTTTATACACGACAGAGGTAGCCAAAGGTTTGTATTGCAGTCTAAGTGAAAGACTTGTAGGATTCCAAAGCTGACAGGACAAATACAGGTAGAGGCTTTGACAGCAATTATTAATAGACCTTATATGTTCAGAACATTTCGAAATAGGTTCTGAAATTTCTTCAATTTGATATATTATAAATAAATTAAAGTATAAACTTGTCTAATTAGCTTTGATATTCTTTGACATGCGTTGACAAAATAGTATTGTAGTGGTATTTAGTTACGGCTTTAGTTAGGCTTTAACTTCAGAATAATTTTTAAAATACAGTAGTCGAGAGAAGGTGCTATTTTAGAGTATTACAGTACTGTATTTGCTCAAAAATATTTATCTCTTAAGTTGTCAATAGTGGAAAGGTTTCTGATTGTAATTCACCATATCTGTTTTGTTTAGGAATTTAGTTAAAATACCAATTACTAGTACAAGTATGAAATTAGCCCAGTGTCCAATACTCTCTGTGAATCTGAATTAAGTTGGGGAACACAAATATAAATTCATGGTTTCATATTTCCGTACACAGAACCAATCTGTTTAAAAAAAAGAATTATCACCCATGAGCTTAAGTTCTCACTGAAAAATGGGTGACAAAAGTTATAATATTTAACTAAAACGCAAGTTATTTATCATAGCCTAGACAGTACAGGCAGACCCAATTTACAAAAATTTGCTATTTATGTAAATTTTTCACAGCATCGGAAGGTGGCAAGCCAAATTTCCATACTCTATTTGTACAGTATTTTATTGTGCCTTCATATTCAAAACGAATGGTATGTGTATTTAAAGTGATTTGTATTACTGGTGCTTCTGTAGGAACCTTTATGACCCCCATGAAAACAATATCTTCTGGTTCTTTCATCTGCTAGAAGTGTGGCAGAACTTTGTGCTGTCAGGAGAGGTGGGTGGTTTATTTACTTTTGTCCCTCGGTTTTATGGGTTATTCTGTGACAGTCAAAGGTTTAATTAAAACATATATCTACATGAATAATGATTTTAATTTCCAGGTTTGGAATCACATCATCCTCTTTGCCTGATAAAAGCAGTTCAGAGTTGCTAGCCATTCACAGACCAGTTTAATAATACTAAAAATAATGCTCCGAAACTGTAAGTGCCTCTAGGGCTTATCTCAAGTGAAAATAAAAGTAATTTTGGAATACAAGATTCGTACGATAATTACTTGTTCTGAAAGGAGCAAATGCCTTCTAGTATCATTGTTAACCCCATCTATACCAAAATCTTGGTATGTGCTACATGGAGACTGCACGCACAAGCGTTTAAGTCATACCGTGACAGCCGACAGTAAGCTCACGAAGCTGTGGAAGTTTCTAGATAGAACGTAAGCACAGCCTTGACCTTATTTTTACACCGCGTGGTGACAAAACTCCTGTAATGTCAACAAAATATCGGGAACTTGGCTTGTTTGGGGAAACTGCCTATTTCGATAATTTCAACCGTTGTCGGAAACTGATGAAATAAAACTTAATGAAAATCAACCAATCATTACCCTCGCCCATTTTTCATGCTGCCTCTTCGACCAATTATAATTGTTTTTTTTAAATCGTGTTATAATAACCGCCTTAGATGTCTGAGTATGTATTTGATACTTTGCTGGTTGCCATGGCCAGTGTTCCCTTGTGCTGTGTGTGGGCGGGATGTACTTAAACGGTGTAGTCATTAGACACTTCTGATAGTGAAGATCGGTTTGAAAATTATTCAGAAGCTGACGATAAGAATTCAGACAACTCTTTAGAGGAATATAACAGTGATTACGATCCTAAAAAGAGATAGATATTAGTGAAGACAGTGATAGTGCGAGTACTTCCTCTAAGCTATTGGCAGTGATTTACCACCTTCCTCCCCGGCCTCCACTCCTCAGTTCTTTTTTTTACGGGAATTAGCCAACCCGGGCACAGGTCAAACGACCCACAACGGAGCCTGGGGGCGAAAAAAAAAACGGAAATTGTAAATATAGAAAAAAAGGTTATACTGTATTAATCTACACCACGAAGATGCCGGAAAACCATCTTTTTAAAGTGAGACAGATTGTAAGAGCATGGAAACACAGAAGGCAAAGCATTCCACAGTTTGGCTGTGTGAGGATCCATTTGCAGACGGATAAAGGACCAGACGTTTTTTGCAAAAGTTCACACGTATATATTTATCCATTTCCCAGGTATGAACATGTTAGTATAATACGCTATAGTATATAGATGAAAACGTACTAAAATTATATCATTTATATTTTCAGAATTGGAATTACATTTTGTTGGGTTTATATAATCTCAGATGTATAAATAATTAACATAATAAATAGTGTGGGTGAAGGTATAATTAATAACCCCTCCTTGCGTGGGAAATATTGCTTATTTTTCTGGCATTATTTTAGTTTCGATCATCGGGGTACAGTGGGAGTGGGGGGGGGGGTCCCTCGGTAAGTTAAGATGTAGTTCCTGGGTTCTGTGGCTAGGTTAGGTTAGGTTACATAGTTTGGATATCTAAATACAGGGATGACCGAAACTAAAAATTTAGTTTTTCATACTGCGAAGATACGGAAAATACTTTGTTTTGTAACTAGAGGTAGTATAGAGGCCAGTTATGGTAGTTTACAGGGGGGCCTCCAAATTACTAAAACCGCACCTGATTATTGGAGTTTGGAGGTGAACCAGTGCCATACTTGCAGTAGTTCTGGAGTGAGTTTTGCTGACGGCAATAATCTTGCGGGCTAGTGGGCATGTAGTGAACATCTGTATTTTATATGAAATTAGTGGTAGATCCAAGGCGGAACAATTTTTTTCCTAAGAGATCAGATACCAAACGGTTGTGACCTGATATTAGCTCGTTTTGTAATAAATACTCTGGCGGCCGATCTGGGCTCCATGCAGGGGTAGTCAAATAGATGCCAGGGGGCCACGCACACTTACCATAAACAACATGAAGTAAGACGAAGGAGGCCAATCTAATCAGTGAATGACTATCTTATTCACCTGACTAACTGTGCTTTAATTATTCGTCTTGAGACTCTTAACAGTCATCACGTTAACTGAAATATTTTCAAGAACTGGGAAAAACAATGGTAGTCGTAGTGTATCATCGCCACCATTTAAACATTGAGCTCTGTGTCTTGGTTTGAGTTAAACAATTATATACTTTTTATCACTTGATTGTTTACGAGAAAATCATACGAAGA